AACTTATGCTCTATTACTAGCTATGGGACCTTGGGCAAATGACTTAAACCCTTAATCATGTCTCTTTCCTTGCTTCCAAAACAAGTCCTTGTGGGGACTGAATTAAAATGTCCATGTAAAATCACCTAGTACAGTATATGGTAGAGAGTAAATAGCTCAATACATCTATATGTGTGTATGTGAATATGTACACATTGTGTGTGTGCATTCCAGCATCCAACAGTGATAAGAGAGACAGAGTTTCTCCACTTCCATTCCCTTCCCCCTTGTATGAACCCCTACCAGATCCTTGGGGCTTCCCTTGTGACTCAGCTGATAAAGAATCTGCCTGCAATGCAGGAGACCTGGGTTCGATCCCTGGGTTGGGAAGATCCCTGGAGAAGGGAAAGGCTACCCCCTCCAGTATTCTGGCCTGGAGAATTCCATGGAGTGTATAGTCCATGGGTTTGCAAAGAGTTGGACATGGCTGAGTGACTTTCACTTCACCAGATTCTTGCCTATTTCAGACTTTTCATTTAGTTTAATACAGGACAAGACAATTCAGTTTAACTTTGGTCTCCCCAGTGAAAGCATACATGATCTAGCAGAGCAACACCAATGAAGGAATAATTATAATTCACATATGTTATAGTACCATAAAGTGAAAGTTCAAGGATTTCTCTGGCAGTCCAGTGGTTTGAGACTTTGCCTTGCAATGCAGGGGGCTGTGGGTTCAATCTCCGGTTGGGGAGCTAAGATTCCACATGACTCAAGGCCAAAAAAACACAAAACATGAGATAGAAGCAATATTGTAACAAATTCAATAAAGACTTTTAAAGATGGTCCACATCAAAAAAATTTCAGCGAATAAGATTAATTTCCTCTGAGGAGCTAGAAAAACCATTATAGAAGCAAGTTGACTGGGAACATGAACAGTTGATAAGACTTTTCCAGAGAACAGAAAGGGAAGGACTTCTACCAGACAGAATCCTCTCAGCACAGCCATGTAAGTATAGGTTGTGCCCGGGAATGGGGAAGAGTTCAGAAAGATAAGAGCAAGGAATTGGTGTGAAGGTGGAAAGATGAACTGGGAAAGAGAAACTGGAGCTGGATGATCAAAATCCTAGGGTCACACCAGACTGATGTCTCTTCCTCTGCTAACACACATACCGGCAAGACTGCTAAGAACTGATCAATTGCCCCAGCGATGTGTCTCGTCACTGATACTACTATCTTAGGTCACTATTTACTCCTCACAAAATTTTTAATTCATTATTCAGATGTTCAGTCAGTCAACTGGAAAAAAAAAAAGCACAACCTAAAAGTTGAGAATTTTATTTTATTCAGCAAACTTGTCAGGGACTTAAACTTGGGATCCAGACTCATAGATAGCTCTGAGGGGCTGTTCCAAAGAGGAGGGAGGAGCCAGAATATATACGAGGTTTTGCAAAAAAAGCCAGCTAGTCAAAACATTAATAGAGAGCTGTTAAAGGAAAAAGCAGCCATTTCAAGGTAATGAACTTAGTGTTTTCTATGCAAGAGTCTGGGCTCAGTAAAATCGTTCCTTTGATATCCTCCTCAACTATGTGGGGCCAGCATCCATTTTTCTCCATCCTGAATCCCCTCAAGTTTCAGTCAGGGGCAGCTGCAGTGGCTGACGGCTTGAGGGCCGCATCATCCCTTGTTTACTGATATGGCATTGACTTAAGTGAAACAAGGGAACAGGCAAAGCTTTTCCCAGTCTTTCATTTTGTTGAGTCTCCCCATCCCCCCAACCAGGGTCTCCAGGGCCATCTGGAAGCCTCTACCTGTACAAGACACCAAATGGTATACAGCTAGGGGCTTCAGGCCCTCACTTGTGTTTCCAGCTCCATGCTCTGCCATTCTTCTGCCCCCACCATTCATCAGAGCCCCAATTTCTACTTAGGATGAAATTGAGAATGGGCCAAACAGATAAACCAGCCTCCGCTGCCTCGCTGGTCCACGGCCCTTCTTAGTAACACAGCACATTAATGGTTGCAGGGAGTCCCTTCACTGTGAACAAAGTTTTCCAACATCAATTTGTTTGCTCCTAGACGTATATTTTCCCCAACCTCTCCACCCCTCACCCCTGCCACAGTTAGAATATGTGCTCTCATCAGACAGAAGAACTTTTATCGATCACAGAATAAGGATGCTCAAGACACGGTTGCTCCAGAAAATCTGAGGTGAGTGGTTGCTTCCTCTTTCTTCTCAGGAAACAGAGGCAGCTTTGTGTTGGGGCTGAATCTTCTCTTTCCCTCTGGACCTGGAGTTTGGTCTCCACTTCTCCAAGCCCATTAACCCGGGGATCTGAGCCCATCATCTCCAGCCTCTGCAGGATGAAAAATGGAAGGGTTTGGCCCCTTGCTATGGATGGGGCTACAGCACACCGGTCACAGATCTCAGTGGGTTTCTTTCAGCTTTTGTTTCAGCTGCCAACAGCATGGGGACTCAAGAGCTGTGAGAAGGGACTTCCCTGATGCCCCAGTGGTTAAGACTCTGCAGTCCCAATGCAGGGGGTCTAGGTTGGATTCCTGGTCACGACTAGATCACGAGTGCCACAACAAAGGTGCTGAGTGCCGCAGCTAAGACCCCGTGCAACCCAAAACCAAAAAGGATCTGAGAGAAGCTCCAGAATGTCAAGGAGGTGGGGTCTGCCCCGGGGGAGGCAAGGAGGCCTGGGGATGAGGCCCATCCCACAGTGCTGAGGCTGAGAGGCCTCCATGCTGCAGGGCCAGCCTCTTTAGTAACCTATTCTGGTAAGACATGAGGGGTGGATAAAAATGAGCTATTATACGTGGGACAGATCCGTTCCTGCAGTGGCAGTGTATTTTCCTCACATGCTTTTCTCTTCACAGCAAGTAAATGTATGTGAAGCCAGTGACTCTGAAGTCAGTCATATTGAATTTACTCAGTTTTCCTTTAGTCTTCAAGCGTGAAGCGTTACAAACCTTCATATGTACACCAGGGAAAGAAAAAATGAAGTAAAAAAAAAAGACTCCCCAGCAAGACCTAAGGAAAAGCCTGTGAAAGAAAACAGTAAGATAAAGCAACACAATTTCGAATCTTAATCTCCTGAAATGGTGCCTTGAAAGCTGCCCTCTCCACTTTTCCGAGTGGGGTCTTCAAAACTGCATATCAAATCATGTTATAACCTTGCTTCTTATCTGTTGGTGAGAGCTTTCAAGGCCCAGTAATTCCCCCAGATATGGCAGGAAAGTTCACAGTAGAGATTTGCGCACTTGACTAAGCTTTGCACAATGCTTTTTGTGGCAGGCTGGTAGAGGAGAGAGATTTGTTTTCCCTTTCAGAACTAAAGCATGCCATTGCCAAGGACACAGTCTTGAAGCCAACCGGAATCACTCCCTTGGTCAGATAATCTCCAGGACAATGACTTAATATCATATACTCTCTGTTTTGGTCCAATAAGACACATAGCCAAGGGGAATGCCCCTGTATTCCCGTACAAGTGAAAACTAATAGACACAAGCCCATCGATGAGGGAGGCTCTCTGGGGGCCCTCTCCCCAGATGCTCTCCTGGGGTACACCATCCCATAACCAGCGAGGGCCTGGATATGTGGGTGCTGGCTAGAGGCGGGGATGGCGACTGTGCAGGGGACTCGGGAGAGAAGAGTTGCAGAAGCACTAACGGCCGTGGAGAGAGCTGTCACCTGCCGTAGGGAGGGTGGGGGACCACTCACTTTTCTCCTCCTCTACTCACCTGGTGGCTATTTGGCCCGAGACTTCCACGGGAAGAGGCGTGATGAGCTTTGAACGATACCCTCAGGACGAGGGGTCACAAGCCCAAGTGTGGACTGGGGTCAGGCAGGTCACGTCAGTGAGTGACTCACCTCAGCCAGTGAGGTGTGAAACTGTAAAGATAGTTGGGGTCTAAGAAAAGAAAAGCAAAAGAGACACCATCTGCTATTTTTTTTTTTAAACAGAGGCGACTTTCTGAAAATTAATTCCTCTTGGCAAACTAAAATGCTTTCTTGTATTAGGCATGACATTCATTGTAGCCCTTTCCCCTTGACTGTCCTGAGGCTCAGAGCTATATTTTGTACTTCTTTTTGATTTTTAAAAATTTTCCCTTTGCTTTTTCCCCTCCCCTTCCTATCCTTTTCCTCTTCCAAGACACACACTCAGACAAACATGTGCTTATTAGTCTATAAGATAGAACATAGGTAACATAAGAGTTATTGGTTAAATATTTCAGAGTTATTAATGACTTATTATTAAGCATTAATGTATGCCATGGTCCTGTTTTTTATTTTCTTCTATTCTATGTATCTTCATTTAAAATGCTCTACCAAATGTCCAAACTCAGTGGAAAACACCATTTGGTTAATTCTAAATTCTGGCTCTGAACTGCAAGGGATCCTAATTTTAAAAACATTCTGTTATCCTCCTTTAAGGACTTAAAAGTGTTTCCCTTTTGGAAGGTTTTTTTTTTTTTTTCTTTTCCTCACTACCATCTCTGTCTGCAAGCCAAGATTATGAATAGAGATGATATATTTTAGGAAGGGGCCATAGATCCAAAATTAATCTCTACCAAAGTTAATTCCTGCATAAATTAGGTTGAATGTGTTTTTCAACACCATAAATCAAAGGTAATAGGTATAAATAAAACATGAACCTAGGTTTCCTCATTTATAACTTCATATCTATGATACTTCAGTGTAGAAAGGGCAGAGTTATTTTTTTTTCTTTTTTTAGAGCTGTTGGGCTAGCCATCTCAAAGGTTGTAGTAGACAGTGTAAAATTAAGTGTATTTCCTCTCTATGGCTGAAACAACTAATAATCAGAAACCCACAGAAAAATTTCCTCTGTGTATTTGTGCAATACATCATGATGCTCCTCTGGGAACCAGCAAACCAGTAGAATTGCCAGGGACAATTTGAGAATGAGGTGGGAGAGGAACCAGCAGCTCTGGGGACCAGGAAACTTGTTCTGCTCCATGAAGCCAGTGGCCAGGTGTTGTCTTCAGGTTATTCTATGGCTATAATTCAGTTCTCAAAGAATCTGTGAGATGGGAAGAAAATAGGGTGTCAGGGTGACCTAGTTGATCATTCTCTGATCTGTAGGGAGCATGCTAGTGTCTGATCCTCTCTACTTGACCAGTATGCACACTCACACACCCTCTCAACTGTCTGAATAAAGTGAAGTCGCTCAGTTGTGTCCAACTCTTTGTGACCCCATGGACTGTAGCCTACCAGACTCCTCCGTTCATGGAATTTTCCAGGCAAGAATACTGGAATGGGTTGCCATTTCCTTCTCCAGGTGATCTTCCCGACCCGGGGATCAAACCTGGGTCTCCCTTATTGCAGGCAGATGCTTTACCATCTGAGCCACCAGGGACGCTCCCAACTGTCTGAAGGTCCACTGCTAATAGATTTTTTTTTTTTAATTTTTATACAAATATAGTTGATTCACAATGTTGTATTAGTTTCACAGGTACAGCAAAGTGACTCCATTATTGTTGCTGTTGTTCAGTTGCCGAGTCAAGTCCGACTCTTTGCCACCATATGGACTGCAGGTCAGGCTTCCCTGTCCTTCACTGTTTCCTGGCGTTTGCTCAAACTCATGTGCATTGATTCAGTGATGCCATCCAACCATCTCATTCCCTGTCACCCTTTCCTCCTCCTGCCCTCAACCTTTCCTAGCATCAGGGTCTTTTTCAGTGAGTCAGCGCTTCACGTCAGGTAGCCAAAGTATTTACATGCATATATATATATATATATATATATATATATATATTTTAACATTCTCTTCCATTGTAGATTATTACACGATATTGAGTATAGCTCCCTGTGCTATACAGTAGGTCCTTGTCAGTTACCTATCTTATATACAGTAATGTGCATATTTTAATCCCAAACTCCAAGTATATCCCTCCTCCTCTGCCCCCTTGGTAAACATAAGTGTGTTTTCTGTAACTTATGTACAAAAACATAAATAGATTCACAGACACAGAAGAGCATCTGTTGATTAAGAGGAGAAAGGTAGAGAGAAAAGCACTACTGACAGTTTTGCCTGGAAAATTACGCCCCACCAAAGCCAGGGCACCCTGCCGTCAATGAGACCACAAGAAGCTCACTCCCTCTTCTCAATTCTGACTTGAGGTTCATACTCCAGAACTGCATTGTCCAATGGTAGCCATCAGTCACACGTAATTGTATAATTTATTTAAAATTATGTAATTTATTTAAAGTACACATGTAATTTTATTAAAAATTATATGCCAGTTACACTAGTCATATTTCAAATGCTCAGTGGCCCTATGTAGATAGTGGTAACTCTACTGTATTGTGCCAGTTACATAGACCGTTCCCCTCTGCAAAAACTTCTACTGGACAGCACTGCTCCAGAGTCTACCCCTAGGGATCATAAAGGCCTGTCTTGCGTCCCTATCTGACATTCTTGTCTCCTTTTTATTTTTTTTATGTGTTTTCTGATGGCCACTCCATCAGTGACTCATATGCACTCAGATCCCTGTGTCAAGCTCTGCTTCCACGAAATTTTACCCAAGACACCGTCTGTGTTGTTTTCAGCTCTAGACTCATTGAAAACCAACAACTAAACATTAACATATGTAACACATCGAGGTCCTTACCCTGAAAAGTGAAAGTGAAAGTGAAGTCGCTCAGTCCTGTCTGACTCTTTGCAACCCCATGGACTGTAGCCCACCAGGCTCCTCCGTTCATGGGGTTTTCCAGGCAAGAATACTGGAGTGGGTTGCCATTTCCTTCTCCAGGTGATCTTCCCGACCCAGGGATCAAACCTGGGTCTCCCGCATTGTAGGCAGACGCTTTACCGTCCTTATCCTGAAAGATACTTGTATGTGCTTGCTGGCTAAAGCATAGGCCCATAGACAGGGTCAATGCGCCAGGTTTTTATAAAAGGAAAAGTGTTCTGGGACCATGGTGAAGCAGTTTTAAATCACCCAAGATTGTGACTGAGGAGGGTGAGTCTCTATAAGAGGCATGAGATGCCCAGATATGTGTGGCTGGGGCGGGGGGGGGGGGGGCTGTGCTGGGGGTTGGTTGCCTAGGTGATCAGCACTGGGGACACAGAACAGTAAGTGCCCTGGATGTGAAAGCAAATACCCTAACTGATGGCTGAAGATGAGCCAGACTCTCAGTGTCAACTTTTTCATCTTTGTTGTGTTGCTAAGTCATGTCTGACTCTTCGTGACCACATGGACTACAGCCCGCCAGTCTCCTCTGTCCTTGGGATTTCCCAGGGAAGAATACTGGAGTGGGTTACCACTTGCTTCTTCAGAGGATCTTCCTGACCCAGTGATGGAACCTAAATCTCCTGTATTTGCAGGAGAATTCTTTACCACTGAGCCACTTGGGAGGCCCCCAAAAGTCAGAGAGAACCATCCAAAAACATTCTGAAGCATATGCCACATCTGTTGGGCCCTAACACAAAGATTCTGGCCCTTTATACTTAGGATTCCCTTCTTAGCATCCATATATGTGCTTTTATTTATTTTTTAAAAAATATTTGGTCACACCATACCACATGTGGATATGGTTCATGCTTATATTTGTGAGAGGGGGGTGGAAGGGAGAGGGTCGGGGTGCTGGCATCAAAGCTGAGATGCACTGGGGACCTAGAGATGAAAGTGAGTGGTTTATACCCAGACACATGCTAATCAGTGGACTTGATTGCACACAGTGACCAGAGGGAAGGGATATCCAGGAATAAAAGTAATTATAATAATTACTTCTTGCATTTACTGAGCATTTACTAAGTGCTCTACAAGTTTGATATCTTTTATAAACCTCTAAAGGATAAGAACTTATTACCCCTATTTGAAAGGTGGGAATACTGAGGCTTGAAGAGGCTAAGTGATTTACCCAAGGTCATACAAGCAATTAAGTAGCAGTGGCATGACTGAAACTGGTAATTTCTTATTTTGATCTTTTATTTAGTTGTCTTTATTTTTTTTTTTTATCACAACCATAGTGTATCTTTTTTTTTTTTTTTACATGTATTCCCCATCCCAGTCCCCCCTCCCACCTCCCTCTCCACCCAATCCCTCTGGGTCTTCCCAGTGCACCAGGCCCGAGCACTTGTCTCATGCACCCAACCTGGGCTGGTGAACTGTTTCACCCTAGATAATATACGTGTTTCAATGCTGTTCTCTTGAAACATCCCACCCTCGCCTTCTCCCAGAGTCCACAAGTCTGTTCTATACATAGGAGTCTCTTTTTCTGTTTTGCATATAGGGTTATTGTTACCATCTTTCTAAATTCCATATATATGTGTTAGTATACTGTAATGGTCTTTATCTTTCTGGCTTACTTCGCTCTGTATAATGGGCTCCAGTTTCATCCATCTCATTAGAACTGATTCAAATGAATTCTTTTTAATGGCTGAGTAATATTCCATGGTGTATATGTACCACAGTTTCCTCATCCATTCGTCTGCTGATGGGCATCTAGGTTGCTTCCATGTCCTGGCTATTTAGTTGTCTTTAATCTGTAGGAATCTTGAAATCCTGAATTATTGACACCTTCCTGGCACAGTGGTAAAGAACCTTCCTGCAGATATGGGAGATGCAAGAGACAGAGGTTCTGTCCTTGGATCAGGAAGATCCCCTGGAGAAGGAAATGGCAACCCACGCCAGTATTCTTGCCTAGTGAATCCCATGGACAGAGGAGCCTGGTGGGCTACAGTCCATGGGTCGCAGATAGACACAACTGAATGACTGAGCTCTCCTCCCAAAGGGATTTGCATTTACTTTTTCCTGGAGTCGTGCATCCTACCAACAGGGGATGCTTTTTAAACTTCATAACGAGGTATGGGCCCTGGTAGCAGGCTCAGGGCTTAGCTTTCAATCCCTGAATTTGAGGCTGACACTGACATTGATCCTCCAAGCCTTGCTCTTCTCCCTTGATTCTAGTTTTAGCTCATTGTGCATGTATATGTAAGTCCTATTATTTTGTTATTGCTGGAAATTTCCTTCTGTTTCTGTATTTTTCTGACCTTGCCTCGAGGTGTTTGAGATCTTAGTTCCCCAACTAGGGATCAAACCCGTGCCCCCTACAGTGGAAATACAGTGTCCTAACCACTGGACTGCCAGGGAATTCCCTCCCTCTGTTTCTTGTGAGAGTTCAGTGTATTACAAAGCCTATTATTATCCTGCGCTAATGCCATTGGAATATCATATCAGGGCATCTGTTCACCATTCTGCCAGCAGCATTCCAGTTTCACCATTAAAATGTGCTGCAAAGACTTCACATCTGATTGGCCCATCCAACATTTTGGTGCAGACTTGGTCCCAGCAGAATTCTTCTTAAAACCAGATTGGTTCCACCTACTCTGACCACAGACTTGATTCTTTTATTTTTATGAGGAGTTCAGCTCACAGTCATTAACTGATTTTTAGCATTTCTGGCAGCTCTTTCAAATTACACAGGCTCATTTCTCTGTCTTCAAAGACTCTGATACATTTCCAGGAACATATATAACACAGTGTTACTAATGGAGTCATGTTATACATATTACAAGGTGTATAATATCCTGCAGCTTGCTTTTTGGTTTAAGAACATAGCATAGTCCATCCCAGGGAGCCTCCCCGGTGGCGCTAGTGGTGAAGAACCCACCTGCCAATGCAGGAAACATAAGAGATGTGGGTTCAGTCCTTGGGTCTGGAAGCTCTCCTGGAGGCGGGCATGGCAACTCACTCCAGTATTCTTGCCTGGAGCAGCCCATGGACAGAGGAGCCTGGCGGGCTATGGTCCATAGGATCGCAGTCAGTCACAACTGAAGCAACTTAGCACACACATAATCCATCTCAATACTTACAGTTGCCTCATTGTTTTAGCTGCATACTAGTCCGTAATATTATCGCAGCGTTTTTTTTTTTTTAACAATTTAGTAGTCAATGGACATTTATGTTATTTCCAATTTGCTTATATAAATAGTGTAGTGATATAATAATCATGTGTATATGTGTGTACATATGTGAGAGTAACCTGTAGAAAGGATTTATAAAATAAATTTGGGGG